ACTATAGCTAGTGAACATAGTTCACATAGGGGTGTTTAGCGGCTAAAAATTCAAGTATCTCACTCTGGATTGGTGGAGACCAAAACAGAGCTAAGAGGACAATGAATATTAACTCAAATTCTCCAGCTGGACAGAAACACAAGGTCAAATAAAAGCTAATATTAGTCAGTTCTTGTTTTAGAGAAATCCTGGGTGAATGTGTCAAACTGGAACACAGCGTAAGCTTCTTTACAGCACATCTTGTACTGCAGAACTACTACAGCTGATATTCCAAGCCAATTATTATCCCATGGAAGTTTCTTGGCAAGAATCTGAACCATTTACTAATCAACCTACTCAGGTTTTGTCACAACACAGTTTCCCAAATACATATTTTAACAATGACGAACTCATACTAGAATCTACTTCCTTTCCCTGCCATTGTTCCTACATCGAGTACTTAAGATAAAAACTGTACAGAGACAACTGAATTATAGTTTTGTTTAATGATTAATAATTGAAATCAGCTCAAGAGGATGCATTAAAATGCAAGTTACCTCTTGAAACTCTAATTGTCATTTCTAATTTATGTTATCTTTCTATGAGCAGAAGATTTCAGTCCAAGATTTTATTGTGAAACAAAAATTCTTTTTTCGCTACAGTATCTGGGGTGGTCTTTGGGTATCCATTTATTTCAATATTCATGTAACATTCCTCACATTGTAAAGAGAATGTTTTTTAAAGAAATCCTGTGCTTGTATGTGGTATAATGTATCGACTTTAAGGCTTGTTGGACACCTTATTACCTGACTAAAAATAGGACATTCAGGGCCACTGTGAGGTTGGATGTAGCCAGATACTGTGCTGCAATGTGTTTAGAGATGAGGGGAGATAACAGAAACAGAGTCCCAGAAATTGCCCCGTGCTGCTGCTGATGCCACTGAACTGGGTCACTCACACTGAAGCCTTTTCACACAGAAAACTACAACTAGGAAACAGAACCAAGTGTCACATTAGGATAACATCAATGGGTTCAGCATTTCACAAAATATGAAATAAGTGTTCTGTGTTTTTTCCTCCAATTGTGCCACGCTCTTCCAACTTCCAAAAGCTGGATCTAGTGCAGGATGGATGATATGTTGATCCAAGCTCACCTCAGACCACAGCTGTGTGATTTTGCATGTTTGTGAGTGAAAGAGAGGATGTGAAGAGAACAGAAAAGAGCATGTGTTTTTGTGTAAACAGTGGTAATGGTGGCTGCGTTGTGCCCAGTGCCTGTGCATTAGCAGTGCCAGACAGCCATGGTCAGTCAAGGGGTGCAATCATGAACTCGCAGGAGGGTCTGTTTCGCCGAGCCCTGCCTAACGATACTCTCTGCTGAGCTCGGATACAGAGGAATTACTCTCGTTTGTCACTGTCTGCAGGGGATTCAAGTGTAAAGCACCAGTCACAGAAATCACTGAGGATATAGGACTTTACCGACATATATGTTGACTTCACGGATAAGTGAATAATTCAGATATCCAACGGGAGCAAAATATACAGTATAACTAAGTTATATAAAAAGGTTAACAACATCTTTCTGCAACAGATGCAGTCTCACCAGAATCAAAAATGAAAAACTCATTACTAATGTAATTTTCCAAGGTGTCAAACGTATTAATCTATGCCTTATGGATTATTTTATTGTTTGAGTCAATAAAAAATGCTTCAAAACATTCTGACCTGAAATCTCTTGCTCATTAAGATGTGAAAACAGAATTTTCTGGAATATACCTTAACCTCAGTGCATGGACTCAAGTGTTTGAGCATCTGTTTTCATTGAAAAAAACTTTAATACTGTTCTTTTTAGGGGAACTGTGACTCCATGAACCCTGTGTGGAAACACTCAGCCCAGTAGCACATCTTTGAGAGACTTTGATGCTCTGCTCTATTTTTCCTACCATAGATTATTTGTTAAATCTCCACAGAGTTTAAACTACACAGAGTTTAGATGAATGCATCGTTAATTTGCACCTTAGTGAGATACCCTCATGCTACATCAAACTCTAAATGACGTTCAACTGTTTGACACAAATGCTCTTGGTAGTGTTTTAATCAGCTTGTCTGAATTTATTCATGAACATCACAAAGGTCAATTTAACTGATGACCAGAAACAGGACTGTAGCTATTATTAAGGACGCTGAGATAATATCCTCAGTATTTTTTTAATATGAATTTGAAGATTTTACAACATGTGTAAAAAACACTCTCTAGCACAAAAAAAACACTCTCTAGCACACTCTAAATATTTAAAATTGATTACTTTTAGGCTGAAAAAATAAGATTCACCATTTTCTTATAAGAGGAAGTGGGATTAAAACAGACTCATGCAGAAATCTACATTGACCTATCCCCATACAGAAAATCACAGCTTTTATGATAGACACCATTAATGAAGGTGGTAAACTACTGAACTAATGAAAAGTTAAAAAGCTTAGTTTTCAAATAAAAAAGTTTTTCAAATAAAGTCAAATGCACCATATACTTGTCATCATATTAACATGAGTGTGTATGGAAGGAGTGGCGTTACATCCAGAATACAAGTGAGGGAAAAAAGTAGGAGCTGTCCGTGTGCTGCAGAAAAGTCCCTAACAGTCAACTAAACAAAACTAATAATATCACTTTACAACCTAAAAATGGGATTTCACAACTAAGAGGTCAACTCCTACAACTCATAAACAAGTATGTGTGATGTATTTTCTAGAATATTGCGTTACAACAACAAAACTATAAAGTTCAGCTGTTAACAAAGCCAGCTGAGCACAGGTGAAGAAAGTCAAGTGTAATTCTGAAGAATATTGGGCGCCTTGTAACTGACAAGTCACTTTCAATTTAAAGTTTCTGAAGAGAAAATTAATAAAAGTGGAAGGGGAGATATGATTGCTACAGCCGCTTGGGATGAGAAAAGAATATATAAGAGCAGATTCATTAGTCGGAGTCATTACAGTGCCTCAGTTTGGAAAATGGACATTGTCCTGGTGTGTACGTGCTCGTGTATATTTCCTGACCAGACTAGGACTTTTTTTTCAGAAATCTAATCAGGCTCTTGAATAGATTATTGGCCCTTGCAGCTTCCGTGAAGGCAATGAGTGAACTAGAGAAATGACATCATACAGTGAGTGAAGGAGAGCGAGAGGTGCACAGCACCGTGTGTGACTGGCACTGACCCAATGTCAATATCAATGACGGCTGTTTCCTCACATCAGAAGTGCCAGAAATGGCAGGATTCAATGGGTGTGAACTCGGCTACACTGTTAGGGTGTGATGCATGTTGGTGCCACTTTCTAATGAGGCATCCATTATAGAAGTTTTGTTGTATCATGGCTTTTGTAATAATTTACAAATCCTCTATAGTGCACGTATAAACCATTAATAAGCACAGCTTTTGAGTTGCCAGGTTGTTGCTGGTGTTTATCCTCATCTTTTTAGCTTTTAGTCCTTTTGCAGACCCTCCCAATGTTCAATCTGATCTTCTGTAAATGTACTGCAAAGCATGTGCACCAGAATTATGTCTTACATATTGCAACCTATTGACATTTGCAGCTGCAGACTTGAATTATTATAAGAACCTTTTATCAGTGACTTGTTAGCATTTACAATTGCATATTGTCGTGGAAATTGTATTGCTGGTGAGGGATTGAGCAAATGATTGAGTTATTGTCTTTTACGAATTTATTAATAAAAGAGAATAAACACAGAAATACTACAACACAAATCAGTTGGACCAGAGGTGGCCGCCCACCCTGAGCCATGGTTCTGCTCGAGGTTTCTGCCTCTTAAAAGCCTAGTGCTTGCTCTTGGTGGGAATTGTTGGGCTTCTGTAAATAACATCACAGAGTATGGTCCTGCTCTTTTATGAAAAGCGCTGTGAGATAACTGCTGTTGTGATTTGGCGCTATATAAATAAAATTGAATTGAAATGAATATATAATGCCTCAAGGCCAGAATTTTCACCATCATGAGCTTTCCGTCCAGAGCCACAATATAGAAAAACATCTCTTATCCTTTCCTAAGTTTCAGGTAGCCAAAGCCAAGCAGTGGTGTATAGTAACATACTGTAGCTACTTAAGTACACAAGGCATTTGTACCGAACTTGAGTATTTTCTTTTCATGCCACTTTCTACTTCTAAACCACCACATCTCCAAAGGGGTGTGGTGGAGTGGTACTTTATCTGACAGCTTCAGTTACTAGTTACTTTAAAAACTAAACTTTTCATGCACAAAATGTATGAAGAGTTTAAAAAATAAGATGCTTTGATATAAATTAAATTACTTAACAGATTGTAGAAGTCCAGCTAGCAGAAGAAGTGTGACAATAGTAATAACATAAAATATGTTGACATAGGAGACATAAACGGTTGATAAATACTGTACATTAATGAACACTTAAAATAGCATACAACTACGTTAAAGTCTGTTGTAATCATTTATTAAATTTATAAATGCTAGACAGGGGACTTAAAGTGAAGTTTTATCAAAATGCTGATTTTGGGTTTGTTATCCTTTATTTAATGCCTTGTTAACATTTAGAACTGCAGATTTGAGGGCTTATTAAAAAGGTAGAAATTTTTCACCACATGGCAACCAAGAGATGTTCTTCCCAATGGTTTATAATGGACCTATAAAGATTTGGAATTATTAATAAAGCCATTTGTTATAAGTTTTAAACCATTTTATAAATGGTTACTTACTATAATGTGGAACCAGTAGGATAGGCTAATATGAGTGACAGCCGCAGATTTTGCATTCTGTGATATCAAAAAAGAAGGCGTATTTTCCGGTTCAAATCACAATCTTTAAGGTGCATAATATGTGACAAATGAGAAACACTGGGCACTATGACCCAGCAGATGGCCCACTCTTCATCGGGAGAGAGAAAAAACAAGGCAGTGATCTGTGGTGCTTGTTTGATGTCAGAGTCAGTATAAAACGGAGACTTTGGGTTGGCTCACCATTCAACCACAGGGGGCCCCGAGGAGACACAGCTCTAGAGAACTTCTGCCCTACATGCGGATTATCTGTGACATCCTCCCAGATGTTGGGACATCAGGACGCACTGCTCGTCATTTACGCACAAGCTCTTTTCTCTCTTATATGTTGTTTACAGTTAAGAGGTTTTTTTTTATGGCTGCAAAACGGAAAAGTTTGAACAGCGGGGAATGGATATTTGCGTCCACAATTTGGTATCGGCATATTACAACCTGATTTAACAGAAGAACATGAAGAAGGAAGGAGGGCTTCTGTTTCAGACTAATAATGACATTTATTTCACCGGATGGCACGGCTAAAGTGACGTCCATCAAGATAAGAGGGCACCTTAAATGTCAGACATCTCAAAGGGTGACATAAAATATGACAAAAAGTGACTAAAAGTTATGGAGCGCTCCGGTCAAGTCGAGCCAACTCAGCCGTTGAACACCACTAACGACAGTTTCATTACAGATTCACCCACTGTGGATGTCAGCGCAGAGAGTCTCGCCTATCAAATCAGTCTGGCGGCGATTCTCTCCCTGATCACACTCGCCACCACTCTATCCAACGCGTTCGTCATCGCAACAATCTCCCAGTCGAAGAAACTGCAAACTCCTGCGAACTTTCTGATCGCCTCACTGGCCGTCACCGACCTGCTGGTGTCCATTCTGGTGATGCCCATTTGCGTCCTGTACACGGTCATCCACATCTGGACGCTGGGGCAAATCGTTTGCGACATCTGGCTCTCCTCGGACATCACGTGTTGCACGGCGTCTATCCTCCACCTGTGCGTAATCGCTTTGGATAGGTACTGGGCCATTACTGACGCGGTGGAGTACTCCAAAAAGCGCACGCCAGGGCGCGCGGCCGGGATGGTGGCCACAGCCTGGGTGATCGCCATCTCCATCTCTCTGCCGCCTCTCTTCTGGAGGCAGGTGAAGGCGGAGGAGCTGACCAGCTGCAGCGTCAACACGGATCATATTTTCTACACCATCTACTCCACCTTTGGGGCTTTCTACATCCCCACCTTGCTGCTTATTGTCCTCTATGGACGGATATACGTAGAGGCTCGGAAACGGATCCTGAAGCAGTCTCCCAAGAAGGTGGGGAAGAGACTCACCTCGGCGCACCTGGTCACCAACTCCCCTGGATCAGTGGCGTCCACAACCTCTCTGCAGTGCGGGAGACACGACACCCAGTCTAGCGACACCGGGTCTTCAACAAGCGAGAACCAGGTGAAAGTAACCGTGTCCGACGCACTTTTGGAGAAAAAGCGTATTTCTGCAGCCAGAGAGAGAAAAGCGACAAAGACTTTGGGGATAATCCTCGGCGCTTATATTGTCTGCTGGCTGCCGTATTTCATTTACACACTGGTGGTGGCCACGTGTGACACATGTTTTAGCCCCGAGTTGTTTGACTTTTTCAACTGGTTGGGATATCTGAACTCCCTAATCAACCCGATCATATACACCATGTCCAACGAGGACTTCAAGAAAGCTTTCCATAAACTTGTGCGCTTCCGATGCTGCAGGTCGTGAACGAATGTTCCTTCCCTCACCAGTGATATTTATGTATGTATTTATTTTGGGATTTCAAGTTATAAAAATGTACGAGGATATAGAATAATAGGAATGGCATAAATAACACACATTCTGGGACTTGTAGACATTATATGTGGTGCATGCAAAAGAAAATAACATCCATCCAAAGTCATTCGGTCCAGATTGCCAGTTGTGGAGTGAAATTGTTCAACATCATTTCCACCAATTTAAAGTTCTGACCACTGCTGCAAAATTAATTTTAAAGCTTGTTTTAATTTAAAAAAAGATTTAATATTGGATATAAAGCAAAATTACTTGTGAAGATAGTGGACAAAACCAACTTACTATCACCACATAAAATCTTAAACTTGTCATGTAAGCCTCTTGATGGGCAAATGATTTGTTGTAGGAGATATTCAGTGATAGGTTGTTACTATTCTGTATGGATTCCTCTTTGGATCGTTTGTCAGTGCCAGTAAACAGCAGAGATCATAAACATCTGACATTATAAGTCAAACATATTTCATCTGGCTACCCAGGAGCCTTTTGCATCATGTGTACAAATATTGTATTTTTATTTCTAAAACTCAGAGATTACAATATGTCTGTATATTCTGAGAAATGATAACAGTGGTATATGTTTTATTATGTCCATGGACTGCTTGTTGCTACAATGTGTGGTGATCTTTTTTTTAATTTAGAAAGATACATTAAAAAAATAAAAATTATTCATCAGTGTCAAACAAATAAACTGTAGCTGATATTTGATATTTACCCGGCAGAGCTGAAAGTTGATCATAAATTCAATTTTGCAGAACAGGCACCACCTTGTTTTACTCTGTGTGTATGTGTGGAGGGGGTCTGTTTGCTGTTTGCGTCTGGCCTGTGGATATATAAAAATAAGGCTGAGGATTTGTCAGCATTATGTGAAGTGAAGGTATGTTGTTCTAGGAATGTATCTGTTCACATTCAGAGACGCTGTGCAATAAAGGCTTTAAAGTATTTGTTTGTCACAAATTGTTTTGCAAGTGAGAGTTTTAATGCACTTCAAAACCTCTTACAAATCAACAGTAAATCCTTTTACACGTTGAAAGCAGCACATATATTCTCACAGACGACACGTCCTTTTATCACTGTTGTAAATTGTTACCTTGGAATGTAATGAGAGATCAGCGTAATGGCTCCAGCGTATTACGACGCTGTCAAAATGAAATCCAACAATCTCTTGAGGCAATCACAAATTTTGCAGAGCATCAAACAATATGGATCAATTTAGACGAATGTGCGTCATTCTGCATCAGTTCCTCCTGACGTTTCTCTCTTGTGACATCAGGGTGAGATTCTGTTGTGGCTGAGATTCCCACCAAGGTATGAACTCTCCACTATCTTCCTGCCCCTTTCTGTCTCTCTGCCACCTTCCTGCAGGCAGAGGAGGGCAAGATCTGTGTAGTGAACGGCTGTCACAGTTCACTAGGTCGTGGGGGGTGGTGGTGGGGGTGTCAGTGGGTGATTCTAGTATAGGCCTACTTCATGCACGCACACACAGACACACAGCAAGGACCACTAATGTTATCAACACACATGCAAAAACACACAAACGCCCTTTGGCTTTCCATATATACATTTTCAAATGGCTTCCACATGGCATCATGCATGAAAGATGACTGCACCTGAGCAGTCAGACATCCAAAACACAGCATTTCCAGGATTTTCCGTGGCAGCTACAGTGTCTTGAAACACACTGAGACACGTTAATTATCAGCCCAAAGAAAGGTTTATTTTTGAAAAAGTCTTGGTATAGACTCATAAGAAACATTTTTCCTCAATCACACCACACAATAAGAAAACAATATAAAAGTATTAAAACACTTAAAATTACAGTCAACTGTCAAAGGCTCACAAGACAAAACTAAATCAACAAATTCAAGGTTTGTACCCGATTTATAGCTGTGGTTGACCCTCATAAGAAGTAACTTTTTTTTTCTCCACTCAAACAAGGTAGAGAGGGTGCACATCCAGGTGCAAGACAAAAGGAACCTGAGAGGTGTTCTGCACACTGAAAGTTTCACACTCCCAAAATTTTAATGTAATGTTTTGACCTACAAACGTCACAAACATCCATGTGAAAATAAACCAGACTCAAAGGCTTGTAATACATAATGTACTAGAGAATAGACATTTTAAAATGTACAATTGTGGGAGCTTGAATATTTTATTCCATGTATTTACACATACAGAATAGCACAGGGGATCATGGTGTAGATGTCACACAGTCTCCCTGAATGCATGCAGAGGATGATAGAGAGCAGAGTTCATCCATGATGGACCAGATAAATATTTCATGCTGAGAGATTGTTGATGTTTAACAAACAGGGTTTATGATTTTGTGTATCTGAAGTAGAATTGCATGGGTCATGTAGGTAACACTGCTGTACCTCTAGATGCAGAGCAGTACACATTATCATTTTGTTGACACAGGATAATTGCATCGTGCAAACAAATATAAATAAATATACAACCTATTTTTTTCCCTATTAACTTAATTTGTGGCTTTGCTGGTTTGCCACAGGTCTGCTGTGGAGTGAAGGACGTTGCTGATGTAACAGCTAGTGAGGCTGAACACATGGATAATGAACCTACAAAATATTCTTCTGATGAATGTAGTTTGGGTTAACAGTTTTATTGTTTCATCTTTTCTGGTCAAAGACGGTTCACCCAATTCATCGCCTGAATAATGGAGGCACAAGGGACCATCTGCTATTAATAAATTATCTTACCAAGGTGATAACAATTGACCTCGACAGGAAGGAAAACAAGTCATCTATAAGGCAACACGGGAAGGCAAGGAGTTTGAGGGTGAGTAACAATTAGAGGATTCTGATATCAGCGATCCTCATTCTGATGATTTTGTAAGAAATCCTGTTACATACAGCACATGGGCTGGTGTGACAAGGTGTAGCTTTTTATCATTTACATCTACCCGTAAAATGTTTTTGGCATAATAAATAGGCCAGTATGGTTCACTGGCAAAATTGTACCCTTTGTGATTTATCTCCTTATAGATAGTTTTACATATTACATATGCTTCTTACATGCTGATCACTGAATTACTATTGTTGTTATTAGGTCTCTCAGGAATGGCCATGTGTGGTTAAACCCCTTCACTTACACTGTAGACATGTTAAGGTATAATAACACATCTGCATTAAAGTGTTTAAAAATGACTAAACCTATGCTACATATTGTGTTGAGTTGTGTGTACCTCCATTATCCCAATTGTTTCCAACAATGTTCAAACCCAGAGAAATCCGTGTTCATTCAAGGTAAGGGTGAGTTTCATTTGGTCGCCTGTTCCTATGATGAGAAAAGATGAGTAAATACAGGGAAACACCCTGGAATAAGGGATCAATAACCAAACGTGACAACAGTCTAAAAAAGTGGTTTGCCCACCTATAAATGCTCAAGTTACCCAGGATTTAGACTTTTAAGTGGAGATTGTGATTTAAGTAATGGACTTTCTTTGAGCCAACAATGTTTTCCTAAACTTAACCAATAGTTTTGTTGCCTAAACCTAACTAAACTGTGATCGTTTCACAGCATTAAACACGTGTTTAATACCATGTGATTAAGCTCTGATATGCCTGTCGCTGGACTGGTACGGGAAACACTCATATGTGTCATTTTGGGAGGATTGGACAACCTATTTTGTCTTTTCAGTATGAGAACAGTTGTGGGTTCGAGATGTAACAATAGTCAACTCTTTTTTTGGGCGATTTTGCATTTATTAAGAATAGTACAGCTGAAGATAGACAGAAATGCAGGAGAGAGAGAGGGGAAGACATGCAGCAAATGAGCTGCAGGTCAGGTTCAAACCCACCTTGCACGGTAAGTACATGGTGCGTATGCTCTCCTAAGTGAGCTAACTGATGCCCCAGGTGGATTCCAGATGTGTATGTGTGTGGATGTGCATAAAGCGTGTGTGTGTGGAGGTTAATATAGGGAAAAATGAGAAGAGAAAAGGCACACAAAACAAGGTCTACAAGATCCTGGTTTCCGCGGCTAGATCCAATATAAACAGCACTCCATCACACAGCACCCTGCAGTGAATTTGCATTCAGTTAGCAGGTACCGGAAATAGTCTTGATAGAGTGTCACTATTGTCTCTGCATGCAGTAGCAGGAGCTAGCACAAGCAAAATTGTAACTACTGACGTAAAGCATAATAACTGCCAACACTTATCACACAGGAACTGACAGCGAACTTTCATTCGACAGTTGAGTTAGTACAGTTGAGTTGAGTTATGGAGTGGACTTGTTACAGTGCCGTTATTGGCTTCACACAGGAACAAAGCAAGTAACGGCGCAGCAGCATGGCACTGATAGAAACACACAGCAATAAGCAGGACCCAGCTGTCCATATATCCCACAGAAAATTCAACCATAATGAAGCTTGTAAGGTTACAATAACACAGTTACAAACTTCTGCGTAGTGGTTATGGAGCGTCAGTCTGTTTAGAAAATCTGATAGTCTTCTCGGGTCAGATTCTGACAATCGCCGGGAAGCTGCACTGTTGGGAGTTTCAATACCACAGCTGATCCTTTGGGTGGCAGGTATCCTCCTCACAACAAGAACAGTGTGGTCTGTATCTTATTCTTCTTCTTCCTCGGGGTATGGGACCGTTATGTTGTGCATAATGGCTTCCTTCTGATCCAAAAATGTGTTTGGTTTCAACTTAACATTCACACATAAGTGAGGTTTTGGCGCATTTTCTCTTGTTTGCAGGCTTTTTGTGTTACCTGCAGGCCGCATCGTTAGGCTTTTGGCTTGCATATAGGTCACTTCTTTGTCTCCATCAAGTGAGGCTCAAAAACTGTTTTGATGTAAGGGACCCCTAGCGGCAGAAATTCCATACCGTTTGTTTAATGGCACAGACACAAAATTTTATATGGTGTGGAATTCATCATATAATAATAATTTTAATCAATACCTATTGGCAGAACCATACATCTATGTTCTACCTTCATCAATACAACAAGATGATATGGAGCTAAAATTGGACAGTGGAGTCAAAGGTGAGGCAATTCACTACTTTATTTATATATATAACACTAAACAAGCACCTTAGCTCATGTGCGGACAAAGAAGTGCAAATTATTATGTTATTGTTAAATCACAGCCTTCAGTCATGCGTGTTCTTTCCATGCTTCACAGCAGATGCAGATTCAGATTCTTATTTTAGGCTCACAGCACTTTGTGTTGACTACAGCTCACATTATGTGGAATGTGGTTCTCTGCCATTCTTTGCCTTAAGTCGAAATTAGAAGACACACTGTATTTGGCTGCCGTTAAAATCATAATAATTGAATATAACTATCTCACCATACTGGTGATCCGACTGACATCACTATGGACCATCAGGATCTTGGTAAATCTATCACCCACTCTGGCCTGAGAAGCAATACAAGGTATCACTAAATTAGGCGGTTACTGTACATGTAGTGGTGATAGAGGAAGTGTGCATAGTGCTGATCCATCCATCTATACTGTATGTGCACCACTGGTAATTGTCGCTCAATTACCAGTGTTTGGAGGATGTCTTCTGCTTACCTGCATATTTGTCATGGATCAGGGGTGTCGTATTTTGATGTTTAATGATCCACCGATAGATTAAATGGGGCTGAGAAAATTGGATCACTTGGATTTGTTAAACCCCATTAAAGTTTCTTACAGTATTTCCTACCCAGCTGACATTTTTCACCACACCGAGATGAAGTGTTGTTTAATTATAGCATGAAGTATCGCAAATCCTTTGCCAGCTGCAGGAATTATTCATTTTTTAATGGAGGATTTGCTGAGACATTATACTATATACTGTGGTAAAATACATAGACATACTGTATTTCTGGAATTCTATATGCAACATGTGTATCCTTAAGGTGAAGATTAATTTAAATGTTTGATATCAAAATGCATACATTGAGGAGGAAACAACT